ATGCGGTTTGTCTTGAAAATTATCGGGACTAGCATAATTAATAATTTTTTAACACTGTTGTTTTAAAAGTGGACAAAGAGCTTGTGTTATAAGATTTGGAAACTCCAGATCATTATAATAGATATGGTTTTAGGTGTTAGAGTTTTAAAATCCCATAAAAGAATGCAATATGTGATGTTTACTATCAGAGCTTTCATGATGAATCTTATCTGTGAAAAGTATTATTTGTTCTAATTTTGAAGGAGCGATCACTTACTTAGCTAATGATAATTTTAAGGGAAGAATGATGACATCTCTAATGTGCAAGCTTATAGTCAATGACTTCATGCCAAACTTTATCGAACCCTTTTTCTACGTCAATAACGCAGGCTGTAACTGTTCCCCTTTTTTGAAAACTTCTCTTTTTGCTTCTATAACACTTAGAATTTGATATACGGTAGAGTGCCCTTTTCAGAATCCAAATTGAAAGTTCTTGATTATGCCGTGTTTATCAAGAAAAGTTTGCAGCCTGTTGTATATTACTCTTTCGAATACTTTTCCAAGACTCAATGTTAAATGGCTATAATAAGTAACACCGAAGCGCTATTACATTATGGCCACCCTGTTAATAAAATGTAGGACGACCTTTAGTCTTCAAAACTGCCAGCACCTGGCGTGGCACTGATTGCACAAGGTGCTGATACGTAGTCAGAGGTATCTGGTACCAAGCGCTCACCAACTGGTCCTGCAATTGCCGCACATTCCGAGGGGCTAGCGTGGCAGCACGAATTCCGTTTTCCAGGTGGGACCACAAATGCTATATTGGATTAATGTCAGGTGAATTTGGAGGTCAAAACATGACTTGAAAGTCACTGGAAGGTTCCTCGAACCAATCCCTGAAGATTCGACCCTTATGACACGGTGCATTATCCTTTTGGTAAACACGATCCCCCACCGGAAATACTGTTGTCATGAATGGGGGAATGTGGTCTGCAACGACGTTCACGTAGCGTACAGACGTCAGGGATTGTTCTATGGGGATTACGGGTCCTAATGTGCTCCATGAAAACATTGCCCACACCATAGTACCCATGCCACCAGCTTGTCTCTGTACAACTGAGCCAGGGTATAGTTTCGAAATCGGCGTTTTAGCACACGCTCGTTTATGTGACGGACCAGAAAACGTGATTCGTAGTACCATACAACTTTCTTCCATTCTTCTAATGTCCAATTCCGATGTTTCTTGGCCCACTGCAGACGCAGCTGGCGATGACGTGCCGTCAGTGCAGGGACATGTTTCGACCTCCGACTGCGTAAGTCCATACTCAGCAATGTACGCTGCACAGTGCATAGTGTACTGTCTGGGTCGCACTGTTGCATTTGGTGGTGTTTTTGGCTGTCGTAGCTCTACGGTCACGGCGATAAATGCGTAGCAATCTCCACTCTCCTCTGGAATCAATGCGCCGTCGACGACACACTGTTGGCTGGCATCTTGTCGTTTCGTCATCTATACACCACTTTCGATATATGCTCACAACAACTTCACGTAAACAGCCCACTAAACGCGCTGTTTCTAATACTGATGTTCCCAGTTGCCGAGCCATAACGATTTGACCTTTATAGAAGTCTGATGAATCAGCTGCTTTTCCCATTATATCGCCAATCGTGCTATGTTCGGAAAGACAATGCACAACCGCTTTATATACTCCAATATCAGCCATGCACGCGTAGTGGTGTTGTTCCTGGGCGAGTCCATTTTCATAGATGTAGGGTGGTCATAATGTAATGGCTCTTCGGTTTAACCAATGCCCATTTTTGCATCACGTAATAATATTCAGGTACGGTCCCACAAGGAGAATGAGAGAAGCAAGGTAAAGGGGAACCCAAGTCCCACAAGCAGATCAAAGACTTAGGCATTACAACAGAAACAAACTTAGCCCTCGAGAGGGAGACCGGCATCAAAGTACAACAAAAAAGATATAGAAAATACAAGCCTGTGCAGGGTACAAAGAGAAGAAATTATATACATCATATTAAAACAAGCTACATATAAGAATGAGATGAAACAGCCTAGGTTACAAAATTACGATCTTTCTTCCTGTGCGCAATAAATGGCCTGGGGAGGTAATCATCTGAGTATACGACAAAAATTCAAAGAGATACGAAAGCTACCTTTACTGCTGCATTGTCATTTCTTGAAGACATTATCAGTAATACTCTGCAGATAAGTTTCGATATACTCTACCGTAAGGTCATCGTGGAGATGTTTATTCCATGCATAGAACTCGGCAAATGTGGTCATTCTTAGAATCTTGATTTGCACTGCTTGTTAATGTCTGCCTTTGTTTATTAGCATATTAATGCCACCTTTGTTTATTAGCTTATTCACGTCCGCCTTTCAAGCCACCCTTCATGCTGGGGACGCGCAGCTCATGATCTGCCAGAATATGGTAGTATATATTTGTCTCTTTCGGTTGAGATTTAATCCCGAGCTTTTGTCCAGTAGTACATACAGATGATTTGCAGTGGCTCTAGTTTTGCCTGAAACATAATTTATGCGCGTTAAAGATACACCACCAGATAACTAACTTTGCCGAAGACGTACAATCGCTGGAGAGTCACATGCTGAATTAGTTTGAGTCTGATTAAGAGCAACTTTGATTTAGTTGCTTTGATCGAGATCCTCCATTAGGCACACCGGTCTTCAATTTTTAAAATAGTCTTGAAGGATGCTGATAGCATGGTTATGACAGGTTTCGCAGTATCATTTGCGTAGCATGCCAAAATCATTGACACTGTTGCAAGGATTCCGCAGCATAAAATCAGTAACGCCCAAGTCCTTAAGCCAGAAGCCCTGCACGACTCCAACAGTGACGTATTTATAAGTTGAATATTTCTCTCTGCAACTGAAGTGCTTGTTCGCGAGATAAACTTTAGGAGATTAATTAGTTCCCGAGGAAAGTTGAGGTGAATCATTTTAAAGAGAGGTTACTCATGGTAGGATTAATCGACATCTGGAACAGAATAGCATCATCATTCCTCACCAATTCGGATTCCGAAGCAGACATTCTACTGTCAACCAGCTATACCGTGCTGTGGAACTTATCAGTGAAGGGCTACAGAAAAAGAAAGTTACAGGTGGACTGTCATTAGACATAGCAAAAGCCTTCGACCGTGTATGGCTCGACGCACTCATCTACAAACTACACAACCTGGGTTTCCCAGTTTACATTACAAACATAGTTAAATCCTACCTAACTGGTAGACACTTTGTTGTTCGCGTCTCAAATATACTCTCAACACGTAGGGATCCCCCAGGGGATAACCTGATGTGCAAGTACCCCTTGCTGGATCAAGTATCAAGTGTGTGCAAGTATCCTACGTATCCCTTACTGGATCCCCCAGGGGAGTCTGCTTGGACCTACCTTATTCAATATCTACGTGAGCGACATTCCCACCACACAGAACACAACACTCGCAATGTATGCTGATGACACTGCGATCCTCTCACAAAATGCATTTATTAGCCCAGCAATACGACTACAACAAGACTACATATACTCGAGACATGCTGAGAAAATGGAAATCAAAGTTAATGTGGCAGACTCACAATTCTGTTTACCAGGAAGGTTATTCAACAAAACCTGCACTCCTTGGAAAGTCAGTCCATGGTCCAACAAGTCCTTTATCTTGGGTGATTCTCAGTAAACTCTCTCATGGTACCCATATATAAATCTATCCTTAATAAGTTTCGAGTTGGTAAAGTCACACTTCACCCCTTAATTCTCGAAACAGTGTCTTCAATAGACAACAAGTGCTATTTATAAAACCGTATTGCGTCCCATACTATGCCTCCCAGGTATGGGCTAGTCTGTAAATCTTATAGAAAAAAATGGCAACAGGCACAAGTGTCCTAAGACAGATTACCATTCGCCCTGGTATTCGAAATCAAAATTATATGAAGAATTGGGTATAGAGCAACTTAATTGTTTTTAACTGCATTCGCCCGAACTTTTACTCCTCGGTGGATATCACACCCATTAAAGGATTTAACGAGACGACTGAAGACCCAAATAATAGTAAACGGCCTATGGCCATATTTAGAACCCATATTGTATAACTTATTCAATTTGTTATGTACCTCTTAATATTGTGTTGTAGATTTAAGGTTTTATTATTACTAGTGCACCAAGAGACTCGCACTACTTTGCCTATTATTTATATGAAAGTTTTTTTCTGCACCAGGCTATAGCCAGCTCATTCCTCCTTTCTCGGCCTTCCCAGATAGTACATCAGGTTTATTGAAACTTGACGCACACTTTAGTTTTTTTAGAAATTTATCTTTTAATTTATCTCTTATCTTATATCTATTCCTATAGCTTTAAAAATGTTAAAATCATGATTTAATTATATATATATATCTAAATATATACTAGTTGCTCATGACAGTAATCGAAATAACATATCTATTCTACAAGGGGTAGGGTCCTTCACCCAGGCACCCTGGTGCTACACCATTTCCCCAGTGTAGTCCAAGTGAAAACTAGAAGAATATATATTACTTAATTTAGGCGACGCCATCAAATATGGCAGGAACATTCCTAATAATTTAAGCGGATTAGTGTAACACGAGATATTTAAATGCATATCTATTCATCAATGAAGTACAAATATTAAACATTTTTCTATAGATTTCTTCAATCATGTGCACACTGTAATGTTCATTAACATATTTATGAGAAATCTTATTGAATAGCACTGTAAAGGTTCTAATTATAAAGGCAGGTTTGCGACAGTATTGCAGAAATGAAAATATGCCACAATTTTTTTTTATGTAAAATATATTTCAGTAAGTTATAAAATACAATTTTACAGTTCACTTTTAGTATAAACTATACACAGAAATTGAATATAATCGTAAAAATCGTGTACAAAATTATACATATATATATTTTATCATATATTTCTTTATAACTTATTTATTAATATAATCTTTCATTTACAAAAACCTTTTATGTTGGACCCAAGGAATATGCGACCTCTGGGCCAAAGGAAGAAAATATTTTGTACGTAGTTATTAGTATACATCATGACACAAATATCGAAACAAGCACTCTAGGCAAAGACTAGATTCTTGAATTTCGTATTAACAAGGAAGGAAATGCACCATTAGGTAAACAGCATTTTAAACAATCATGCTGGATTTTATTTTTAAAAAAGTTAAAAATAAATGTCAAGGAGAATTTTCAAATAAATAAAATAAATAAATTACTATTAAAATATTGTCCCTTAGTGAATATAATGCATTTAGGAAGTATTAAAAAATACGTATCACACTGTATAAATTGTACTTCAATATAAACTCATTTCAAACCGTTTTATTGTAAAATATAGCAAAGTATACTCCTTTAAATCAAAGCTTAAAATGATAATTCTTTTTAATAATGATAATTCTATTATTCTGATTGACGAATAGATCATGGGACAATTTTTTTCATAAAGAATTTAAGAATAAAAAATACAAATTTAAACATTTGATAAAAATACAGAGAATGAATTGTTAAAAAAATGGTTCTCTTAAAAAATCTGATTATTTTTATGTAGATTAATATTCAACATCAAGTTGCTATAGTTAAAGTTTTAAGATAATGCCTCATGGGGAATAAGAATTTTAGCTTCATTTTTGAAAATTAAGCAGCTTGACTGTAAAAGAAAAGAAAGTAACAAATATGTGGCACAGATTTTTACGTTTCTAAAATCATTAATAAAATCCAGGATTTGTATGTTCAATAATACACCTTTTACAGAATTTTTTTACTGTCCGATAACCTTCCACGGTGATATTGCAGTCCTGGATGTTCAGTTGTTGAAGTCCTCGGCAGTAGAAAGCAATAGACTGAATGCCTTGGTCAGTTATCATATCACAAGACTTCACGCTAAGCTTCCGCAAATTCGGACAGTGCTCTGAAAGAAGACGCAGGCCATTGTCTGTGACATCACATTTTCCGATATCCAAAGCCCTTAGCCTTGGACAGCTCCTAGATAAAACTTCCATGCTGTGATCTGATACAGCTTCACAACCTCTAACATTAAGATAACGTAGTTTATAACAATGACGTGCTATTTGTTTAATTCCAGCATCAGAGATTTGATCGCACTTTGCAACGCTGAGATACCTGAGGTTAGATCCCAATTTGGCCAATTCATACATACCAAAGTCGGTTACCAGAATGCAGTCACTGATGCTGAAATAAAAAATTGAGTTCAATTAAAAACAGAAGAAGCAAGATACAATTATGAAAATTATAAGATATGAATAGTAAAATTTTTCTATCAGATTAAAAATTCATCTAAGTTATAAGATAAAAACTAGAAAGCTTGAAAAAGCTGTACAGGGTGGCCCACATCTGCTCAGGCAATAATATGACAAGATAGATACCATATTTCTGACACAATGTGCATAGGCGCGAATAAGGGGGGAGGAAAGATGGAATACTACACTGGTGAAATAAATTAAGAGAATTTTCCTATTTGATCTACGATCTCCAGAACTACTGGACAGAGTTTAATAAAATTTGGTGTGAACATAGTTGATACTACAACAAAATATAACATTCAACAGATATAATAGACACACATGTTCGTGTGTAACACTCATGGAGTCTGAAGTTGAAACGTTGAGGTCTGGAGACCGGGCTGCCAATCCATCGGGCGAATATTCTCCTTCCGAGAAATTCGTCGACCCGGAAGAGCTCTAGGGGCCTCGCGTTTATCGTCCTGAAATAAACTCGGGGGCCACTGCACCCCAGAAAAGCGAACATAAGGGCTCCAAGCTCATCCCTAACCTCACCCATCATAGCCTTTGTCAGACGTGAGAGTGTGGGGCCATCCAACATGATGCCCTTCCATCCCCCGCTACTGCCATAATTGTTGATTTCTCGACACTGGAGGTAGGTAGGCGAGTCCCTGCTCTCTCCTGTGAAAGATCGGCGAGAATCGGTATTTAGGCTAAAACGGGACTCGTCGGTAACAAACTCGCCCACTGCTTCTGTACTCCAATCAATATGCTCTTGGCACCATGCTAATCGGACTCTCCTTTCGTAGCGTGAGCGAACGCAAACAGCCGGTCTTCTGGCAAAAACCGTCTCTCCTTCAGTCTTTTGGAAACAATCACACCCTTCTTACACGGTTCCTGTGGCTGCATACAGGTCCTGAGTCAGCTTCTCTCTCCCTCTGTACCTCGCTAAAATAGATAACACGATCTTCTCTGGGCCGTCGTGGCTCTTGACGACCTTGCCCAGGCTTTCTCTCGATGGTCCAGTATCCTGAACTGTTTCCATAGGTTACACACGACGCTGGGCGTTAAATTAAACTCTGCATATCTGGACTTGCGATTGGTCTGCCTCTAGCCTCCCCACAATTCACCACCTCATTCCCTCATCTACACGTTGGTTGTTACTCATTTTTACTGTTCCGATGTGAATTTAACCGATTGCTGCAAGATAACACAATAAATTCGCCGAGGTGTGCTAGCGCACACAGTTCGTCTTACCCTCCACGCGCTTATAAAACCTGTTTTTCGGATGGCTCAGCCTACACATGCGTGTACGCTTACGTATTTGCCGTATAAGATTTGTATTTTTATCTAGAAGCAGTGGTTTTTCCTTCAGTTCAGTTCTTTTCATGCAATTCGATAAATATGCAAATTCTCTTAATTTATTTCACCAGTGTATTTTGGCGACACTAAATCGCTGGATAGACTAAGACTAAAGGGCTACGGTCTCCTCCAAAGCGCGTGCCATCAGTAATAAGCAGGGACACGCTTTCTCGCGTGCCACCCTGTATAATACGAATTTTACACCTACATAAAAATAGTTTCATTTAAACAAAACATATCTCCGACATAAGGTAATTCTGCAAGAAATAGTAAATTAACCTATAAAGATGATATCGAATCTGTGAAATAGCAAAATATAAAATTTCGCTTTTATAAGATGCTGGATCTTGTTCATATATATGGAATTAGTTTGAAATTGGCAAATTAATAAATTACAAAAAGCGGGGAAAATACAGATACACTCGAAAGTAATGAGCCTCTCTCTTAAACGCAAGTATACTAAGCAAAATTGCTGGCATAAAAAACCTGCATAATAATATGCAAATAATAAAAAATACTAAGATTTTAAACAAAGCAATGGGGCAGTCCAATGCTTTTAAAACTGGATAATCTTTATGTTTGGGCTTTATTATCAAACGTTTTTCTGATATTTGCTAGTAAATTTTTGTAACTTGACCGTTTTCATCAGCTGACATAATATAAAAGAGGATTCCCTACTGGCCTTTTTCAGGATTGGTTGCTTGTATCATCGTATAGCTACTAAAGTAGAGTGTGATATCAACACAATTTTATAGTATGCGCGCAACTACAGCGAAGAACATGTAGAATATCCCTGTGCACATCCCGGTCGTTCATGACTTATAAATGTAAGCAGAGATCACTCCATTGCACTTATAACAACTGACCGCTCTTATGGCATTTCTACGGATATTATGAGGCATGTGTAGAATATTTTGTGTGTCTAATAGCATGCGTATCTACGCAAATGAGCTTCATGGTAAGACGCCTCAATAGTGCGAAGCCTTTCGTGACTAGGAAAGTGAACGCGCAGTTTTCAGTGATAAGTTCAGCATCTGTTTTAGTAGGCATAGTAGTCCAGTACATGTGTGCGCACGTGTGAGTGAAGAGCTACCTCATATGGCTCAATGCAATACATGGCCTTCGCTTGGTATTATGAAGTCGGCTGCCATATCTTTCGTCATTCGGAATGTCCGAACGTTTATAGTGGACAACCTAATCGGTTAATGACATGAGATAAGGTAGTTAGATCCATCGCAATCGCTCCCAGTTACCGTTTAAAGTGGCGCATTTAAGCAGGCCACTGCGCGAGAAGACACTAGTCGTGTAGTTGCGGTTGCTGTAAAGACCTCTTGCTTTGGTAGTCCAGACCACCGGATCAGTATCCAATAGGGGATGTGTGTGGCCAGGTGAAAAATAGGGGATGTGGTCGCTCTCCACAACAGTTACCGATAAACACTGTTATTCTCCGCCAACGGCTTGAAGAAGCACGGGAGGGGGAATCTGTATCACAAGGAAACGACTGTCTGAAACCACGTGGATAAAATAAATGCTGTGCGGTGATGTCGACAAGAGTTAAAATCGCGAACGGGGGAGAATGGCCAAAGCCTTGAAGCGCCTATTTTAAAGTAACAGACTATAGCTATATGTTAATAACTCAGCTTTCAAGTAGGTGAAAATAAAATATGGGCATCAATATTTTTAAACATTTTATTACATCAATGGATATTTTATGGAGAGGAGTTCTGAATTTACGAATTCGCGCAGGTATCAGTAATATCGGTTTGTTGGTAATTATTTCCTTCACAATCAACAAGAAAATATGGAACAGCCTTCATTATTGAATTGCGAAATTTGGATGACTTTGCCACAGAAGTTTTCTTTAACAAATATTTTATGAGAAAAGTATATTTGCAAATAATTACCGTATTCTTTTGTGCAGGCTTTTGTGTTTTAAATAGCTATCATATCTAACTAGAGCAGGAAAATCCATTCTCCGAATCAATGTGAAGAGAGAGCTTATTTTTCTCATTTCTTGCTCCGGATACCTGATGAAAATGCAGCAACACAGTAAAATGAGGTAAATCATAACTCGTCACCACCTAGATTTGGTCGATTGGGTTTTGTACTCTTCCTCCGATGAGCATTTCTGTGATGTAATTAGTTAGCGAATTCACCTAGAAATGGCATATCGTGGCTCGAATCCAGAGTGAAACAGTTGACTTCCTCCGTTTCTTATTCCAAAATACCTAATAGTCTTAGCATATTTTACGGTAAGCAGCAGTTAAGCCTTATGTTGAGAGAGTATAACTGAGCTTATTGGTGCATTTAATGTTGAATTATTTACATGGGTGGCAGACATTTTTTGAGAGATTTAGTAAGATTTGGAACATAGTGCTCCCTCCATTACTTCTAAAAGAAACTGTTGAAGTGCAGTAGTATCCCCTTCCGAAATTTTCTCTCTTTTTGGCGTGATTAGGAAACGCAGGTAAAATTTTGAGTGCTAAGATACGACAGTATTCTTCGATATTTCCTCCTAAAGCAGTTAAAGCCTGCAGCCTTTCGGTTACCCTCAATGAAAACTTCATTCAAGACTATAGGTGATGAATGTCGTATTGGCGTAATATTTTCCAAAAAAATCGATGTGAGCTATTTTTATCATCATATTCGTTAAGAAGTTTTTTTTTTTTTTGTAGTTTCATACGTGTTTGAGAGAATACTTATTCCATCAAGTAATATCTTCTATTCCTCTTTTAAATAACCGCGAAAAATGCGTGTATATCAATGATTGAAAGATGTGGGTTATGGTCGAAAGAAGATTCATATTGTTTCCCAAAATTTTCAATCTGTTCTACATCTACACGGAATGGTTCAAGATAAACTGTCGGTAACTTCTTAGTATAGGAATGAGAAATAGGCGTAGGAGTACTTGGAAGCAAATTAGAAACTGGAACATTATTAGCAGCTACAGGTATGACATTCTGAATAACTTTCCCTGCTTTAAAAATAGTGAGTATGCCACTGCCTGTATACTCTTCAAATTGTAAACACCAGATTCATATTAAAGCATCAGAGAATAAATTATGGATGTTATCCAATAATTTCATTTCACTCAACAAATCCGAAAGTTCATCACAAAAATATTCCAAATCATCATTATTCACATCTTTGAAACTACCATTATTAACGTCTGTCAACTTCGTAATAAAGCGAGTATTATTTGCTCTAACGCTCTTTTGTTTTCGTTTAAGGAGCGTTATATCATCCATAGCGTCACTTTGGAACGACATTTCAAATGCGCCAGTAAGGAAACAAAATTCTAAACAATATAATTAAAGCAAAATAAAACCACACTTGTGTCTAATTCTAGATAACAGGAGCGTAAATTTTCAAAATCCTGCATCTACCAAATTTCAGCATGCGTTTCGATATACATTTTATTTTGTTTATTAATCATACAATTGTTGTAAACATAAACATATTCTTAGAATTTTGTTGTGCTGCCAGATTCCAAAGTTCAATGAAACTCCGAGCGAAGGAAAATCGTAACTGACTGACTGACGTCACGAGCAGTATTGCATAGACCTTATAAGAAGGCTGCAGAATTTAGTTTTTTCTCAGCTTTAAATATTAACGAGAAAACCTTTTAGAAAGAATTACCAAACTATCTTTCTTTAACCTCGTCTGGATGCGCCATATTATTGCCCAACTAATGAATTGTCGGATGTATTATTAAGGTTGTTCCATAACTTTCTTTCATGACCAGCTCGCATCAATTTTATTTTGCACGTTTACATAAATTTGCAGCTTTATCTCTCAAAAATTATTTCCATCGTTTCTAATCGACGTCTAGCGATAATAGAATACGTTTCATTCGCACTGAAGAATTAGTTATACATGTTCTTTCATGCGCCTTCGAGTATGGGAAATCACGAGAAGCATTTGTGACATGTAATATTGCATTGTTTTAGAAGGCAACAATACTAATGATACTGCAAAAGAGAATTGCGCTGCTTACGGGAAAAACGCTATAAGTTTTAGAGTAATTTGTTCTAGGTTTAGGAAGTTCGAGAGGTAATTTTAATCAGAAAGATGAAGACAGTAGCGGTCGTCTATCCACTACAGGTACAGATCTCATCAAGGGTATGGTTGACGATACTTTAAACATTCCCCGAACAATGGTACACAGTCATCTCAGAAAGCTCGGCTACACTAATCGATCTGAATTATGAGTTCCACCTCAACTGGCAGACAGCCTCTTCTTAACCATATACTTCAATTTGTGATTTACTTTTCAAGTAAAATAAAAGAGAACTTTCGAAGAGGTTAGTTATTGCAGATCAAGCTTCAATTTTGAATGAGAAATCAGGATCACTTTTGGGCCAAACACAGTAGCCTTTAATGTTAGCTTCTCAATTTCCACCTGGAAAAAGTTTTAGTGACAACACAGTGGTTCAGAAGGGTATCATTCATTATGAACTACTTCCAAAAAATGAAACAATTAATTAAAAAAAGGGGCCAGTGCTAATATACAGACAAGGCATCTTCTACCTGCACGATAATGCCAGCACCCATATCTTTAGCCGTTAGAACCAAACTAGCACTTGAAAGCTATTTTGCTGGCAAATCACAAACATTTAGGACAGATGGAGTTACGCAGCTTTTGGAAAGATGGTAGAAACTAATGGATCGTATACAACTAAAAACAAAACGTAAAACATGAAGTACTGTGCACGTTTTACTTATTAATAAAACAGGAGGGGGCATTTGGGACAAGCTAATATAAATATCTTAGAAAACAAGATATATTTAGGAATACAGTCTTTTATCAAAGCATACATTTTCACATTAAGAAATTCATTACAGAATAAAAAAAAATTCCCCAACAGTGTAGGCTACTGCGAAATTATTGTTAGCATTTTACTCTTTTATAAGGATACAGATGTAAGACCGTTTCTGTGCGAACTTTGCAATATAAAAAGTGACACTTTCTATTCTTCCGTAAAGAAATTCTGGTAATTTCTAGTTAACTACAATTTTTTAATACCATTAAGCAGAGAATCAAAGAAAAGCAAATTTTAGAATATACAAACTATTATTCGATTATATCCTTCGTATCTATAGTATTTACTAAACTAAAGGAAAGCATGAGAGAAATACTGAACAGGGTGGTCGAAAACTACATAAAGAATTCGGAAATGCTTTTAAATCATGGGTGTCTAAATTATGACCATTTGAGAGCAGCATTGCAAAGAAAAAAATTTGCGGGCCCTCACATACAAATTTTTTAACAAATTGAAATAAAAATTAACTTTATGTTGTTTTATTAAAATAAATTAACTCCTTTTTATTATTATTTTTTAAAATTTGAATTAGATATGTATAGGTACATATTTATTATTAATTTTGTAAAAGTTTCGTTTCATTTAGTTTGGATTTCATAAAGATGGAAAAAAATTCAAATTAATGAGATGGATGAATTTGCTTTTGTTGAACAAAGCAAATTGATATCGGGTTCAATAGACGAGGTTGCAATTCTTGATGCATTTTCAAGATGTTTGTCCGTTATCTTTGTCCTATTTTTGTTTTTCGCATCTTTCATTCTTGAAAATAATTGTTCATAAATATAGGTACTGCCAAAAGCTGAAGACATTAATAAAGCATGATTGTGACAATTAGGATATTTATCGCGGGGTAGGTAATCTTTATAAAACTCCAGTAAAGAAATATTTTCAAATTTTCCATTCAGTTGAATGTCACTTTGCAGTTAATACATCATGACATACTAAGATGTTTATTTTTTAAATTTTTAATTTAAAATAAATGTCAACGAATCGATTATATATGAATCAAATTCAAACATTTATTTTTTTAATAAAAATATGTAGATTTAAATAATTAAATAACTTGCGTTTGGGCTGCATTTTAAAGACTTTTGGGCTGCACTTAAGACATCCATGCTTTAAATATTAAGCAGATGATTATAATCGAAAGCAGACTGAGCGCCCCAGACAGCACTGTAGCATATCGATATTAACACTCGCAATCAAAGATAGCACTGCAAACGATATTGAAAACTTTTTCTGTTGTGGCATAACTTGAATATTTAATTAATTTTGTGATATGCAGCGTGCTCATTGGCTTCAGCTATTTGGATGCTAGTGGGCATGGAAATTTGGACCTCTCTATATTTTAGATTTTACTGGGATAAAATAAATAAATTAATAAAAATCAAATACATGAATAAATAAAGTACAGTATATAGAAACATTAAACGAGATAATCATATACAAGCCTCTTGCTTATTCTACAAGATAGAGACAACGTGCCTGCTTAAAACTGGAAACAGTCTTAAAGGTAACGATAGTCCTTCCTCCTTTTAAATGATAAGGGTTGAAAATGCATTTGATCCCCCAAAAGCAAAAATAATACACTATATATTTCTCAGAACGAGCGCGAAAGCTAAGTTTTATACAATATACTTACCAAGTAAGTACCAAGTAAGTATATTGTATAAAACTTAGCTTTCGCGCTCGTTCTGAGAAATATATAGTGTATTATTTTTGCTTTTGGGGGATCAAATGCATTTTCAACCCTTATCATTTAAAAGGAGGAAGGACTATCGTTACCTTTAAGACTGTTTCCAGTTTTAAGCAGGCACGTTGTCTCTATCTTGTAGAATAAGCAAGAGGCTTGTATATGATTATCTCGTTTAATGTTTCTATATACTGTACTTTATTTAGACAAATGAGCAAAAGCTTATCTTTAAAATTTAAGAAACATGAGGAAATAAGTCGAAATTACGCTCTTTATTTTGCCAGATTACAAATAGAATGTATGAATTTTGTTTTTCAAATGAAAAGAATCGGAATAGCAGGCATGAGAGCGTTAACACACACGCTTTCGTTATGTATCAATTGTTTAATAGGCATTGGGTTTATTTGACTAAGGAAAGCCACATTAGGGCTATTTGCCTAAGGAGAAGCAATATCTTCGTTGAAGAGTTCCTAAAAGAAACTAGGTCACATTCATGTCTTCGTAAAAAAGAAGCCGTTCTCGGAAGGTGGTTAAAATAGGCTGACTGACTGACATGTCGTTCAGCTCGTGTCCGAATCTCTTATACGATAGAGATTTTTGTGATTGCAGCGTTATTGTGGAACTGAAGCTTTTAACTTATCGTTTTAAAAGTCTCTTTTCGAGGGAGATGAAATGAATGAAATAAGCTGCAAGGGTTTCGAATATCTAACCCATGAATACTTTCAGTCAAAACCGGAATGAAACTTAAGAATAGACAGCCCTCCTTTTCTTTATTACATAACCTCATTCCTTCGTGAAAAGAAACAAATAACGTTTGCAGTCTTTTCTTTCGTTTACAAACTCACCTGAGTTCTTTTAGCATCATGCAGAAACTAGCTATAGCTTTTATGCCGCAGTCAGTTATCTGAACACATCGACGTAAGTACATGTGAGAAATCTGTGGTGAATTGCGGACGATAGTTTTCAGGCCAAAGTCTTCGAGACCGTGGCAATCAGTGAGGTCCAGAAATTGAAGAAATAACTGATGGTGATGAACAACCTGAGGAGGAACATGCAGCGAACCACTAGATGGATGATCTATAACAGAGTCCGATATCTCATTCGATAAACTTCTGGGTTGGATCGTCGTGATTTGCTGGCAACCTGGGAGATAAAAGTAGGGATTAGACAGTAAATACTACACAGAACTCAAAACAAAGAAATAAGTACTTAATATAACATTTAATGCCTTCTTATCTAATATACTGTCAAAGAACTGAATGCTCATATTTTAAAGAAGAAAAGCAAGGGCTACGATAATTTACACCTTTACTTACGAATAGCAAAACAGTATTGCTAGTGTGTATCAAGTTTCACAAATTGCAGGTTAAGAATCGGCTACTGAAAAATCAATGCATACTGGATTATGTAGTTAGGTTGCCTAACTACATATTAGAAATCCAGAGTTCGGTTTTGAAATCATACAACGTTTCAGACAGCAAGCTCTAAGTAGATGCAAGTCTCTTTCGATGAGTGCACGCAGATCAATGCACGTTCATGAAACTTTTAAGTATTGGAATTTGTACGCGATTTTCTGTTGGTAACTTATAAAAACAAATCAAATTTCGTATGTCTCGAACAAAAATAATTTATTGTTTCTTAACTGCAATTTGTTTATAACGTCGCATTTTGCTTATAATGACTTAAAAGTTGCATTTTGTTTAGATGTGCACTTCGCTAATAATTTGCCTCCATCACTATTAAAAGATATGCTATAACTAAACGTTTTTAACAGGGTTGAACCTGAACCGAAAAAAATCTACTTAACATAGAGGATACCCAAATATGTGGAATATTTTGGGCAGGATAAAATAGAATTAAAATATTTGTGTAATTGGAATTATTTCAGTTAGAAAATTTAGGATACAAGCTTTTCTATAACTGGGTACAGCTATCTCTGACGATAAACCCTATTTTAACACTCATTAATATGAAGTGATTTTAAACCATCTGGCAAAAATGTAAAGGAGGTAGAGAAAAACAAATAAGCATATATTGTAACCGAATGTGGGTGCGAAAATGATGCGATAAGGTGGTAGATAGCGCTATTGAGATCAGTAGGTAAAAGCGGTCCACTTGCGTAAATCGTCATTCCTTGAACGGAATTTGAGCGGTATGCACTGCAACACGAATATTGACATGCATTTTATCTATGAGGCAGCGGACGGAAACAGAGCAGCTACTCAGAGGTTGGACAGACAACATTGTAAACTGTGTGCTTCTTTTTTGCTTTAGCGTTTTTTTTTAAAATTATTATTAGTTCATGCCTTTCTTATGCGCAGCTTGCATCTATCCTGCACACATATTTAATAAAAAATTCTGCTTAATTCAGTCCCATCTACATTTCTGTCAGATATTTTACAACCACTCTATTATTTAATTTGCATTAAGTTATAGCAACATGGTCATGATCATCCCACTTTCGTTTACACTTGGTATACATTAATTAAAACTTTGTTTACGATATTAGATTAACAGACCTTTTGATTCGCATATTTTGGGAAAAGCAGTACAATTAAAAAATAACACTTGTTTATGTTGTTTACAGTAACTGGCTTCCAAAATTTAAGCACGCAAATGAAAATCAACAAAAATGGAAAAGTAAAGTTCTGATTAACACCAAATTGCGAATGAAGGTAGCAAATGTGTTCATGCATCGACACAAATTTAAGCATTATACACAAAAATGAGAGCAATAGGTTATTTTTGTAAATTATATGATGACATCCCATTTGGATCAGTAGCAAATTATGTTTAAAGCTAAATACAAAACGTGCATTTATATGGCATATGTTCAAAATCACGGAAACAGTACAGAACAATTAGATTAAAAAAAAAAATAAAAAATGTTAAAAAACATATATATTCCTTTTCTACTCCTTGAATGCTCAATTAATGATACATTGAGGGATTGGAATGTGCTGCACTGTTCTCTTGAAATTAAATTATTAAAATAATAAATTGCTGATAAAAGGGAAGGGAAGATAGTATTCGATTAATTAACGACGGAAAGCAGACTGAAATACTCTGTCTAAGGGAAGAAAAACTTTCTTGACAGATAGTTTAAAGAAGAATGAATACTGAAAACTTCACAAACAGCAGTGGCCAGTATTATTCTATTTGAGTTGCCGTAAATAAAGTTGTCGACTTTTATTAACGTTTGTTTAAGCAGCAGAATAAACGTAGATTTTTAATAAAGTTACATTTACTTCTCGTCTGTGTTAAGTTTAGATTTTTATTAAATGAGAAGTAGCTAATTTTTTTTAGCCAGAGAATTTTAATCAGTTGAAGTGAAACAACTAATTGCTTAACTATCTGTATGAATGGAAATAGAATACGTGAAGCAAATTTAAATGCTGTTAAAGTAAAACAAGTTTTAAATTTGAAAAATCTGAAATGAATTTAATTAAGGCATTTACCACTGAAGAATATTTAACTGAATTAATTAAAATTAAAAATGTTTTAATTTAATTAAAATTGAAGAATCTTTTAGTTATTTTTTAAATTTACATTTTATGTTTTTAATTTTTATTTTATAATGTAATGGATGGAATTTGATAAATATTCTTTACTTACGTCTTAATTTATTCCCAAATGTTCGCTGCAACAATTATTTCTCTTAAAATCCTGTTACCGTATATACCCGCGTATAAGTCGAGATATTTTGGACAAAAAAAAAAAAAAAAAAAAAAAAGATTTCAAAGTGTGTGGGGGGGGGTCGACTTATACGCGGGGCCATAAAAAATTAAAAGAATCGGAAGTTCAAAAATGTCTTTATATAATGCAGTTGTTTTCTCCCCGCACTCAAATTGGACGACTTATCAAATAAGTCACCTACTTGAAGTAATTTCATGACTTAAATTATGTGACGAACTAATCACAGAGATTCATACTTTAACTAGAGTAAGTTTCGATTAAACCAAAGAATTTTCGGACCCCGAACAACCGATCAATATCGAGCAATAAAAAAGTTTCGCCAACACGCCAAGAAAAGAGAAATGCAGATAGTTTTTACATACGTATAAGTCTTTATAATAGTTATTCTTCATTCATGAAATACTTTTTAATAGGCGAACACGTCAAAATTTAAAAAAATAGCCCACGCAATAACTGAACAGTTTTGAATATTTCTTTTAACTTTTAAAAAGGGAAAATGCAGATAGATTTTACGTACGCGAATCTTTTCCGGAACAAATTCTAGATTAGGTGTATTGAAAATACGGCAAAGCACACTAGGGCTATCTGCCTAAGGGGAGGGATGCCTTCGTGGAGGACTTTCTAAGGGAAACTGGCTCGTATACACGTTACACATGGGGAAAAACACGAAAACGCCCATGCAGCCAGCCCGTTAGCGGGATTCGAACCTCGGGCCGAACTACCAGTGTTCAGCGATTTTATCGCTCGGCCGCTGGCGGGCGAACAAATTCTAGAAGGTTACTATATACGATCATTTTTCCCCAATTATCCTGCATTTTGGATATGTTGGCGACGCTTTTGCCTGCTGGATGCTGATTGGTTGTTCGGGGGGCAGAAAACTCTTCGGTTTAACGTCCAGATTCGACGGATTCTTTGCTAGAATCACGTGCCCCACTGTTAAATCTTACTCGCTCTTGTCAGTACGTTTTTGTTTCCCTTCTTGTTTCTGTTGATATGGCTGATTTATTGGTAGTTAAACAGAAACGTCAGTCATACGCTGCTGGATTTAAGTTAAAAGTTATTTCTTCTTAGTGAAACACGGATCTTCTAATGAACTTGGGGAACATATTGCGGTTTAGATGTGGTATTAATTAATTATGGATACCTGATATTGTAATATCATTTACAGTCATTTTACCTGAACTGCTGATTGAAATATTTCATCTGTGGGTTATCCATCCCTGGTGTCTTAAGAAGTTTTTAATTTGTTTTTCAATAATTTCGTTAAATATTTGGATATTCACGAATATTTATCTTGTTTATTTAATGACGTTAACTTCAATCCATTCCTTAGTTACACTTTCAAAGCATTTAACATTTTTTCTAATATCTTAACGTTTTCACACTTCATTATTGTTTCCTTTGATTGACTTCGTTACGTTTATTTGTATCGTCTATTGATTAGCTTATAAATAATTGTTGCTCCTACTCCTGGGTTCAAGTCCCGGTGGACGTGCTGGCTGTATTAAAAGTATTCCTGAAATTTCCTCCATACATATAGTGAAGTTGATCCTACTCTGTAGCTGATAACCCTTGGATGATTTGTTATAATCTGAAACAAAATCAACTGTAGCTTCTCACACTTTGCCAAAAAGGATTTACTTTTGAAGCAGAAGTATTTATTATTCAATTTTTAATCAATAAAATTTTATTGAAAAAAAAATCTAAGGCTTTATTTCCCTTTACTTCTTAAACAGTGACTGTTAAATAACATATTAAAGACATGATTACAGATATAAATAAATAACTGTGAAACTAAGTTTCTCCTGAAGTTTATTTAGCCTTAACTATCATTTTATTCTACAGAGTAAGCCCACCAGACTGTGAATACTGGTAGCTGGACTTGCGCTCAAACTACGCAGCACTAGCTGCATCGAGCAGTTTAGAGGTTTTCTCCATGTGTAATGTGCATATGAGCTAAATTCCCTTAGAAAGTTATCCATTAAGTTACCCTTCCCTTTACGCAGATAGCTCTCGTATGCTTTTCCATGCTGAAATAACTATAACCATATATCGAATAAGGTAGAGTTTCTAAAGCTTTCCTAGGAAATAATGCAATGGTTTGAGGTTTGCAAAATAATGAATTACTTCCTCAAGCAGCAATTTAAAGCTTAAATAAGATATATTTAGCGACAGTTTTGCCCAGTTTTAGACATTAAAAGCATAGAACCCTCTGATAAAAGAAATGACAATCTAAGAGTGAATTTTGCCCAGTTTTAAATATTATAACAACTAGAAAAATGGAGATAACTTGCATATGCATACACTCCCCCTCAAAAGGAAATGAGGGGGAAAATGTGTTCCTTTACCTATAAACCAGATCTGACTCCTTAGCTACCAGTGATTATGTTAGACTACACATTTTCTTTACATAAAACCATTCTCATTTTGCCCATTTATTGCTGGTA